ATATAGTATATATATATATATAATATTATATTATATATATAAAATATATGTATATATGTATTGTATATATACATATATATATATATATATATATATATATATATTAATTATATTATATATTATGTTTATATATATATATTTTATATATATATATATATATATATATGTTTATATATATATATATATATATATATGTTATATATATATGTATATATATATATGTATATATATATATATATATTATGTATTATATATATATATATATATATATATATATATTATTATATATATATATATATATATATATATATATATATATATATATATATATATATATATATATATATATATATATATATTATATATATATATATATATATATGTATATATACATATATGTATTATATATATATATGTATATATAAATATGTATATATATATATATATATATATATATATATATATATATATATATATATATATTATATATATATATATATAATATATATATATATATATATATATATGGTTTATATATATATATTATATAATGGCTTGACATAATTTAGAAATAGAGTGTTTCCTCAGCTTTGTGAAGTGAATAGTAGTGTGCATAAACAATGGAAGTTCTAAAGCAGTCAAGTACTTTTCATAAGGTTTGTAGTCCAGAGAGAGGGTTAATTTATTTGAACCATGTAAGGAAGCATAAGCTAATAATGAAGATTTAATATCTTATATTTGGACCCCAGTCATTAGAAATCTCTTTTGATTTCAGGTGCAGCGTAGCAACTTGTATGGTGACCCAACCACAGGCCAGCAGCCCCCACCACAGCACTTGAATTCAAATGCAGCACCCCACCATAAGGTCACTGCTCCTCCTACACAGCTGGGGGTGAGTCATTCTTATTTTTATCCCCCCAATCCCTTGCTTATTGTTGTCGTGGCTCAGGAGACAGTGACTGCGGCCTAATGTAGGGGATCAGCCCAGCCTTGGACCTCAGTCCTTCGCTGAACTAATTTTACGTGGTCTTCTTTTTTTTTCCCCCTCCTTTCCTTTTCCTTCTCTTCTTCATCCCCTTTTTATGTCCACTTCCTAAGGTGTGAGAGGCATGCTGAAAGGATGAAAGGCTGGCTTTTTGTCAATCCTGAATGGCCTCCAGAAGCCATGGGCATGGTATTCCCATGGTTAATCACCTAGCCCTTACCCCTAATTGGGACCCTGTGGGGTAGACCATTTCTTTTTCCCATTTATTTCAGGCTCACAATAGCCAATAATGATTTTTTACCCTTAGTAGAGGCATTAAGGCTTGATCTTTCATCAGCTAGCCTATCTAAATTTGACTTCATTGGTTTCTCGACCCTTGCCTCTCCGTTGATCACAGCTCCAAGCACTGATACTAATACCTGATGTTTATTGACAACTCTATCCGTTCTGAACCACTCACCCAGATCATTACTCAACCATCGGAATGTACCCCTTCCTTTCTCCCAACATTCTCCACTTCATCTCCTACTACACAGTCTTCTTCATTGTCTACCCTCCCCCCCCTTTATTACTAGTCTTCATTCTTATTGCTCTCCTCCCCAAAGTACTACTCACTCCACACACCATCTTCCTCCCATCCTTCTCCTTCTACTGCTTCCACCTCTGCAAACCTTTTGAGTACTCTCTTTGGCCCAGCCAAATGAGATCAGTTCTTTGTGATTCCCCCGACAGTTCGTTACTCTGATTGTGCCCTTCTCTTCCAACAATTTCTCCAAAAACAAGTAGGCAAAATTTCCTTTCTCAGTTGTATTAATTGTTCAAGGCTTGTCACAATTACATCTGAGTTCCAAGCTAGTGACCTCACTCCTCTATTAATGCTTTTACCAGAACTGTTTCCATCTCCCAACTGATCTTTCTATAATAAGAACTAGTCAGACTGAAAATGATCTACTTGCATGCTTTGTTGTTGCAGTACAGTGCTACACTATTCCTCCCAGAGGCCAGCATATGTCCTACACCAATAATGCCAGGATTAGCTTCTAGAGACATGACCTCCCCCATGAAGTTTATATTAGTGGAGTCTCTTGCCCTGTTCAACCATATCGACCCCATCCAAATCAATGTCAGAAATTTTATTTTTTTGGCCACCCACCCAAACACTGCCCTGTATATGCCCAACCTGGTCAAGACCGTTCAAATTGCTCTGCTCAGTCATGTATAGTTGCGGAATTATATTTCAGTACACTTACTGGATCCTACTTTTGTACATCTGGCAACAAATCAAAGTAAACATAGTGGAAATAGTATTTTTGTGAATGAGGCTAAAATCCAAGATAGTTTGTAACAAAGAGTGTGATTGGTTGAATATAAATGACCGACGAGTGTATTAGTGAATAATTTTTAAAAAGTAAGTAAGTCATTTGATCTCATTTTCTTCAAATAATTGGGAACAAAACATGTAATATTAGGTATTGTTGAAATTGTCTGGGATATTCTTCAAATGCGATATCCTGGAATTGTTTGTTTATCAAAATAGCAACACTTCTGGTGGGGAGGTGGCATTTCCCCCTGCCTTCAAGACAAGTATCAAAAATATTTTGTGAAACACAAAAAAGGCTAAATGCTTTAGATATCTCTGTATACCAGCCAAATCAAACAAAAAATAGTGCAAAAGACCTTTGTAAATACATCCCGTACCTGCACCATCTAGTAGTGGCTAATCAATCTATTAAAGTGATACATCTTTTCTTTTTGGGAACACCAAACACTTTTTCAATAAACAAACACCATGCTACATTATTTTCTTTATTACAGAATGTAAAGATGCTTCCTCATTGTGTGTGTGTGTGGGGGGGGGGCTTCTATAGAAATACAAAAGTAATACTTAGTGACGAGTTATGAAACAATATGTATAATTTGTTTCAGTTATTCTGAAGGTCCTTTATCTTGAGCTAAAATCTGTTTATAGATTTCGCTGCTATTATTTTTTCTAGAGGGAGACGCATCCAAATTTTAACAGTTTAGTGAGGAAAGACATGTTTGCTTGTTTCAACTCAAGCATCTATTAGCTAGGTGGTTCCCAGGAGGGTGAATAGCAAAAGTCTAATAACGGACTCCTAATACATGGGGCTGTATATCTAATATTTTGAAGAAAAAAAAGGCATTCTGATAAAAGCCAGTTGACCATGCTCTCTACTTTGTCATTTATGCAGCTTTTTGCCAATACATGTCTGTGCTATATGTGTATAGAAAGAAGAAAGAAAGGAAGAAAGAAAGAAAGAAGAAAGGAAGAAAGGAAGAAAGAAGAAAGAAAGAAAGAAAGAAAGAAGAAAGAAAGAAAGAAAGAAAGAAAGAAAGAAAGAAGAAAAAGAAAGAAAAGAAAGAAAGAAGAAAGAAAGAAGAAGAAGAAGAAGAAGAAGAAGAAGAAGAAGAAGAAAGAAGAAGAAGAAGAAGAAGAAGAAGAAGAAGAAGAAGAAGAAGAAGAAGAAGAAGAAGAAGAAGAAGAAGAAGAAGAAGAAGAAGAAGAAGAAGAAGAAGAAGAAGAAGAAGAAGAAGAAGAAGAAGAAGAAGAAGAAAGAAGAAAGAAGAAAAAGAAGAAGAAGAAGAAAAAAAAAAAAAAAAAAAAAAAGAAAAAAAAAAAAAAAAAAAAAAAAAAAAAAAAAAAATATATATATATATATATATATATATATATATATATATATATATATATATATATATATATATATATAGGCATACTTGACCTATATCACAAAATCAAAGTTCTTATATATAATCTTGATAGGAATGTGAAATAATAATGTGACAAATATATATATTTTTTTTGGGGGGGTCCGGTTCAAACACGGATTCAGTAAACAGAAAATATGCTACTTTATAATCATTTTAGGGTAATGTGTATACACAGATGGCTCATCGATGTGTGCATGCATTGTGTGTGAAAGAACTGCGGTTGTTTAACACTTTATGTAGAATCTTTAGTTTTATATTTCATAATTTTGAACCCCATCTCGTTCAAAATGCCATAGAATGTAGTTGATATATATATATATATATATATATATATATATATATATATATATATATATATATATATATATATATATTTTTTTTTTTTTTTTTTTTTTTTCTTCTTTTTTTTTCTTTTTTTTTCTTTTCTTTTTCTTTCTTTTCTTTTCTTTTCTTTTCTTTTCTTAGAGGATAGAGGTTTCAGTGAATCGACTAATTGGGGATGGTTATTCATTTTGGGGATATTTTTATTATAGTTTAATTTTTAAAGAAATATGGTAGTAACTGTAGTAAAGGAAGGCAAGTACTGAGGCTAGTCATGTTTATGATAAGAACAATGTATTGTTATTCAGTCTGTGTCTGATCCTCGAGACAGGTGATGTGTTCATACAACATCCTGATTTCCTCCTTAAATCTTCCCATTCCTTCTTAGCATGATCTATTAGCTGCTGGGAGGTTGTTTCATTAGCTGTTTCTCAAACATTGACAATATTCGCCCAAACATTTTTCATTGGGTTTGAGTCACATCCCTTGCTTGGCCATCGAAGGACCTCCAGGTGGTCTTAGTCATGGAATCACTTCCTAATTGCCCCAGATGTGTGTATAGGGCAATTATCCTGCACAAATATGATTGCTTCTGGGAAGGGCCAAGGCATAACAGCGTACTGATGGAAGAATGATTTTTTCCTAATAATTCGATATATTTTTCTAAGATGCCTTTCCTCCTGTTTTGCCAACATCATGTAGGAAGACCCACCCCTATACATCAAAGGTCATGTGGCCACTCCTCGCTGGTTCATAGATAATTTGTCTGTCGTATGTGAAAAGTAAATAATGATTTAGAATCCAAACATGAAATATAACGTATAGAACACTAATATGTATATATAAATATTTCAAATTGAAATTGATTAATTTGTGAAAATTTTGAAAAGGGTTAATATTTACACCTTTTATCTTATCCATTATATTACATTAACCCATTTATGACGGGTGTTCCATATATGAGACACCTGGAGAAATAAACATTGTGACTTTGGATCGGAGCTCGCGCTCCGAATACGTCGCGCCCAGCGCATAGGCAGATTCCGGGTTGGCCCCAAGTACCGATTTTGTAGCCGCCCGGAAAATATTATTTTCGGCTTCAAAATGTGCTGGTATTACTGGGTTAACACATACAAAAAAAGACATCAGTTAAAGCAAGAAATTCTAATTTTCTTAGAGTGAATAAGATATACAGCACATATTTTGGGAGTTGGTTCTTGGAGTTGTGCAAGTCACCCTCCTTGGAACCACCTAGCTAGTAATTGCTTGAGTTGAAACAAGCAAACATGTATTTTCTCGCTCAGCTATTCGAATGAGGATGCGATTCCTCAAAGAAACATCAATACTTATGGCTTATAGCAGATTATACATACTTTCATAACTCATCACCAAATACTATTTACTCTATGCTTACTTCGCTTGGTTGCCAGATTGGTACAAAGGTGGGATGCAGCAAGTGTACTGAAATATAATTCCGCGACTGTACATGTGCCAATTGTGATGGCACCCGTAATGTATTGTATAGGAGTTGCCCAACCCACAAGTTCAAATATGAGGTAGCAGTTCTCAGATTCAAACATGAGGCGAGACAGGAAGTACAGCAACAAGGTTTTTCTCTCTGTTCCAAAACTGTCCTTTACTCTACTTCCCTCCATCTTTTCAAAATGTCTTAGCATCTCCCTCAGTATCTCTCATCCCTCTACCTCAAATCATCTTACCTCTACTCCCGCTCTACCCAGGTCAAACTCCTTTTCCAGTCTAAATCCAGATACTCAAATCTCTACCACCTAAAACCCTCCTCCTCACTTTACCTTTACACCAGTCAGCCTAAATGTTTCACTCCTCCTTCTCCT